AACCTGTACAGAGGTTTGTTAGTGAAATAACAGATTAAAAAATAAAGTTTTTTTTTTAAGTAAATAGTTTGATAACTATCTGGACATTATAAAGATTTCATATGCAAAATTTGAAAATTTTCTGATGAATAAAAGTATTTATAATCTTAAAATAAAAATTACTTTGCATGTTGGATAGGAAACATACAAAAAGAAAAAAAGGCATAAGGAAAACATAGCTTAACAAACCTTAAGACTTAATAGAAAAATTTAATATTTTGCATATGAAAGCATTGTAATGTTTACTGGTAATCTGCCATATTTCGTTAACATACACTTATTAATTTAAAAGTTATAGCATGAAAACTATAACAAACATAAAATGGTTAGGAGGTTGGTCCCAGGGATGGAAGCCCGTGCTGAAAGAGTTAAAATGGTGCAAAATTACAAATGTGTTTTTCAGCAAATGAATGGTGTGATGAATAGCTATACTTATTAGTAATATGAGATTAAAGATTGATTGGTTTTTAATTTACTGTTTGAAATTACAAGTAAATGAAAAATATTATGTTTTTTAATGTGTAAAGGAAAAGTTGGAAAGCTCGTATGCTGATGGTAGACAGTAATATACTTTTTTTTTGTTTTGTTACATCTTTGCAGGTAATTGATGTTATGGCACTGCATCTTCCACCAGAAAAATTACTTCCCCCACTGGTAAGGCTAAAATGTGTGATTAGAAACTTCATCATTATAAATGTAATGTTAACAGGTTTTCTTTGTAAAACTTAAAAAAGTGGTTTCCAGTCTACTGGAAAAGAAACCTTTTTCTTGTGAATTTTGCAACAGATTGAAGTAAAATAAGAGAACAAGATTACATGTGCAAATATCAGTACATTGTTATCTAATTTTCTATTACAAATTAAACAACGAAAAAATCATAAAATGTAGACCTTCACTTACTCACTCTGTTTTATTATGTAAATGTTTTTACAATGATGTTTGTGGTTCTTTGTACAGTCGTGTTTATAAAGAAAAGTACTTAGCATGTAAACTAGTTACTTTGCTGTTTTCATTAAAACTTCATGTGTACGAATGGGTGCATAAACTTATAAACAAAAATTCCTTAAGTAGTTAAATATTACTGGTAAACATTGTAATCACAATGAATAGATCATATTTTGCATATTAATAAATATCTTCAATTATAGGAGTATAGATGTAATTTCTTACAAAATCAGCTGTTTATTTTTTAACTTTGTTTTTATTAGATTGCCGAGATCGACTATTCACTGAATTCATGTAAAAATGATCCATACCGAAGGAAAGCAGCTTATCTAGCTATAGCTGTTATTGCTGAGGGTTGTGCTGAAAGTATTAGGAACAAGTAAGGATAGATAATGAGTTAATATGTTGTAAAAATTATTTTATTGTGTAAATGTTAACATTCTTAAAAATGAATACAAAAAATTATTGATAGTTCTGTGAAACTGTATTTGTGTGTATGTGTGTGTACATTTACAATCTATAGTTGATTTTTCAAGCGTTTAAATGATAGAATTGAAAATGCTAAACAATTGAAACCTCTTGAGACTTATCCCCTCAAACATGTTTATAGAACATTTGCACATACAAAATACTGATCATAATCGATTAAACTGTATAAATGTGGAGATGTCACAATTAGTCTGTAAGACAATTGGCAAGACTTTAAAATGAGTGATAGCAAATGCCTGGTGTCATTTCAAAAGATAATTTCTCTGACACAATGAACAGAGAGAAACACTTGTCATCAGTATCTATCAAAAGTGGTAATATGTCTGTGGCTAGAAAAAACTGTGAATGTCATTTGACTAATTCTGTAAGTGCTGATCAAGATTCTACTGTCTACAAAGATACAATCCAAAGAACACTACACAAAGTTTTATGTGGCAGCTGATAACCAGTATGAATGCTGTTTATCTTGAATGGAAACTGGAAAGCACAACCTCAGTGGTGTTAAGTGTGCAAGCTGTGGACATTGAATGACTAGAAGCATATGCTGAGTCTTGTTTCACTCTTTTTTTTCATCTGACAATGAATATAATAGAAACTGTATGACCCTTCTTCTGTTTTTCCAACAGAGCATGCTGCTGAAGGTGATATAATGGTGTAGAGAATGGTCTTGTTTCAGGAGTTGGATCATTTGATTCCTACAGAAAAGCACGTAATGTTTAGAGTGTATTGAGTATGTTACCAACCATGTCCACCTCACAGTGCTGTACTTGCATTCTGAACAAGGATGGGACTCTTTCAAAGCAATAATGCAGTAATTCACAAAGTTAGTTTTATTTGAAAATAGTTCAAAGACCTAGGTAGTGATTACACTTGTTTTTATCAAACCTTATTCTTGTTGAACATCTTTTGGACAAGACATGAATGTTGCTTTTGCTTTCGTAATCCTGGGCCAGCATTCTCATATTATATTCTGACCATACTTTCAATTAATGATGTGCAATTTAACAAGACACCTTCTTTCATATTGTTAAGTCTATGCTATGTTAATTCTAGACTTATTATGGCTAAAGGTAGTCAAACACAATGTTTTGTTGGAGAACTCTAATATAATAGTCAATTATGTACTGTTATGTAGAAAATCTAGAAAAAAATAAATTTTTAGTGTTTCTTATTTTTAAAAGTTAGTTGAACATCTTTTATTATTATTCTTTTTTAAGAAAAACTTGACATTCAAACTTGTATGAATTATGGCTTTAGTAATTATTTGTAGTTTTTTTTAATACTATTTACAAAATGATGTAAAGGAAAAAAGTAAAAATGTTGAATTCTAAAATTTTCATTATTAGTTAAAAGTGAGCAAACTCAGACTGGGTAATGAAATCATACTGATTTTTTTATTATTGCAGAATATAACTACTAGATAAATTCCTCTTTCTTTTATAGAAAATATTTCAAGAAATAACCATTTTTCTTGTATGTTTGTTATATTAGTTTTTATGTGTATCTAATTCTTTTGTTCAATATGTTTAAAATTTTTATTCTTTTGTATACAAAAGAATAGTAAATGTAAGACTGTGACAAGCTTGTCACATTTTAATAGAGCTTTAATTGAAAAATGTGTAGCTATATCAGTTAAATTTAGCTTTCTTGTTTCTGAACGTATTGTTATAATGTTAGGTTCAATTACATTTGTCTTCAACAAGAAGCATTTTACATTTCAAAATTGAAGAATAACTGGTACTTTTGTAATGTTATAATAATACATTACAGTTAATATTTTAAGATGATCTGTGGTATCTAACTCTAAACATATTCCATCTTAGCTGAAACTGTAAGTTAATTCTACTTATATATATCTAAATGTCTTTGTAATAACAAGTTATTGCCTGAAAACATAGAATGACTGAATCAGAAATAGGTAAATATTAAATATCATAAATTTTAAGCAACTTTTTGGAACCAATTAGTTTGTTGTTTCTGTATGCAGACTTTTTTCAAAGATGGGCCAGTGGTGACCAAATGATTAACATACTGATCTGTAAATCTAAGGCTTCATGGTTTATGTCCCATTCTCAGAAAAATGTGTGCTACACTTTGAGGCCATGGGTGCATGACAAGAGTGATGGCCAAATTCTACTAACTGATTAGAATAGTCCCAAAAATGGCAGTGTGGGCTGTTAACTAGCTAACTTTTCTCTTGTCTACTAGTTCAAAATTAGGAACTAGCTTGCACAGGTAACTCCATTCAAGTTTGCGTAAATTTCCTAAACAGGTCTTCAAAGCCGTAAAATACTTGTGTATGTTTATCATACTTGTGTACGTTTATCTGAAGTACTGCAAATTGTTACTTATATAGTCTATTTACAAAACAAAATATATTTTTTTATAAATTCAGTTTTTGATAAATAATATAATTCTACATCTCTTTATAGATATCTTCAAAAGTTTCTTCATTTTATTGGACAAGGAATCACTGATTCTGACCAGATTGTAAAAAATGCAGCATTATTTGCTTTAGGGCAGTTTTCAGAACACCTTCAAGTAAGAACATATATTTGTCATTTACATATTTTTTTTACATTTATTAGTATTTCAAAAAACCTTGTTTTTTATAGAAGTTTACTGTTTTCAATGATTCTCATGATTTTGTTTAGGTGAATAATGTTTGGCAGAAGCAATAAGCATCAATAAGTATATTAATTTCTCTGAGAAGATATATTTTTTCCCATGTATTAGTGTTAAAATATGCTCTGTAATATGAGAGAAATATATCTATTTTAAAATGAGGGAATTTAATAGTAGCTACCAAGAAGATACTTAATGTCCATATTACTTGTCATTTTTTAAAGGTTTTGCTCTTCCTGTTAGTGAAATTCACAATTAGGAAAACTTCAGTTCTTGGAAACAATACAACAAGGCAACAAAAAAGAAATTTTATCTTACATAAAGCAACTTTATTTCTGAACGACCATTAGTCCATCCTTAATTCCAATATGATCACTTACCCTTTTCTCACAGTTACAGCTATACTCGATTTGACTGCCACCTATTGCACAATTTTAGCATGCAACACAACCTCCTATCGTAGCTGACTCCCTCTATGCAGTTGAATCTAATCTTCACTTTTAGATTTGGCATGCTAGTGTTCAGACCTTCAGCTTGCCTTTTTTATTCCTTTAACCCTATCTCCACAGGTATTCTTTACTGTGCATGACACATTAAAAATTTTATTAAACTACTTTTTGTTTATGTTATACCAATTAATATAGCATAAAATTTTACCTAATAATCCATATTTTATTAGTATATAAGTTTTATGTTCTTAATTCTATAAGACAATATTTAAAAAAATCCTGAATTTCCCTTTTTCTCTAGGTATCTTCTTTATCCACCACCCCTTCAGTAACTACGATATTAAACATAAATTACTCACTATAAAATCATCATTGCTCAGGCAAACCATAATTTTTAAAGCCTTCAATTTTTTTTGGTTACAGAGCTATAAAATAGAAAATCAGACAGCTTCTGCCACACCCACCTGTCACGTCCTCTATTTCGGGATTTGTTAATAGTTCTCTCTCTTACGTTTAATTATACATTACCTGTAATGAATAGAAAGCCAAGGTTTCCACCTATCAAATGACTTATTATGTTGTGATCTGAACAGATAATCTCCAGTTTCACTTGTAGTACAGGCTTCGTTCCCACGGGAAAGGTAATGACTTGATTCGATGAATTTGTAAAAGTTCTTGTCACATAGTTAGAAAAGCCAGAAAAAATTGTGATTGTTAGAGGAAATTTTCTACTTTTTATGTTATTATTCTATGTTCATGGTGCATTATTTAGTTAAATAATAATTTCTTAATGTCCTTACTACCATTAGTATAAAAAAAAGTAGGATTAAATGTCATCGATAGTCTACAGCAAAAAAAGGAATACTCGGGTAAGTATTTTATTTCTTGTTTTTCATGTTTATTCTTTATTTATTATTATAAAAGTAACTCACATGTAAAAATATGGATCTCTTTAGATTAGTTAAGATTAAATTAGTTAAAATAAATAATAATAATATCATAAAAATGTTTCACCAGGCATGCACAAGTGCAGCTCGTGGGTAAGGTAATTCAATTGTGTAACGTGAACTCCACGTTTCCCAAGTGATTTACAACTTATAATGGTGCAAATAGTAGTTAGACACAGTTCAAAGGGGCAAACAAAGGGTAATAAAACAAATTTAATTATAAATAGATGTATACAGTTATGAGTTTAAAACTACTTAAGATAAATGAATGTAGTTTCATGTTGCAGTATAAAGTCATTCTAGAAAGAAAAAAAAGGGTATTTTAAATTCATTTAAATTTTTTTTTTGGTGGTTATGAGGCCAGTCAAATTGACTAGCTGCGTATAGAGTTAGGATAGAGAAAATAACAGATAAAATATAAAGTTTTACTGAAAACAAACATTTGAAATGTATTTACAAGGTTTTAGTAGTTGCACAAATGAAATTTGAGATTAAGAAAAGTATTTTTAAGTTTAACATGAAAATCACTTTGCATACAGACTATTCAAAACAAATACTCAATATATTCATGGACAAATCTTTTGTAAAAATACTTCATTTAAAAACTGATTTTTTTGTGTACAAAATACTTGTAATGTGTATTAAAAGTCTGCCAAATTTTGTGAAGATACACACTGTATTAAAAACTATAGTATTAATACTATGAACAAATAAAAATGGTCCAATGGTCAGTTCCAGGGACCGTCCGTGTACTGAGAGTTAAGTTGTGCTTCATTGGTCTTGATCTTGAAACTTTAATTTCTAATTGCAACTTCAATAATTTCCACTTTTCAAGTTTGCACTTATTTACCATTATTTGAAATTATTTAATTTTTTAAATTAATTGCTTTCCATGGTGTGCTATACTTCATGTACTGGTAGTTAGCCATGATTTTCATATATTCTCATTTTTGAGTCATGGCCATTACTGCTTCTAATACTTCCAGTGACCAACCATCCATTACATTGGCTTCAGGTTCAACATTTTCGACTGTTGAAGCTTTAGCCCTTTTCTATAGGAAAATGGCCGCTTGGTGTGTTCGCTGGTTATGGTGGGGATGTCCATATGCGCCCAAACTAAATATCTTGTTCATTTTGGGGTATTCTGCATTCCCATCTCATATGAGTCCAGCCTTCTCCTCTTCATCTGTATTCTGCATATCTTTTAGTTCAATAGGCACATTCCTCTCCTTTTCTCCCTGTGTGAGTGGTTCTTTCTCTTGTGGTTACTTGGGCTCCTTTGGAGGCCATTATTCCTTTAGACCATGCTTACATGAGTTTTATTCAGTTGGTACTTCATGAATGGTAGAACCTCACCAGGAATTCTCTGAGTTACCCAATTTTCCTTCCTCCTTCTCTTTAAAACGTTTTTGTCTGGTGGTTGGACAATACAATGGCTGATATTATCTTCCTCCTTCCCACCCAGATGTACATCTTTTTCCCAAATGCTTCACTGTTGGGAAGGGATGCATATTGTGACTCACAGGAGGTCTGAGGCCATTGGTCTTTAGCAGAGTCGAATCTCCATATCAATCTTTTGGAGCTCTTAGCTGTTTGTTGGGTATTGGATCATTTCTACTGGCTTTGAGGAGCACGATGATGAGGATTCACTCCAATAACTCATATGTTGTCTCTACTGTCACTTGTCAAGGGGGCACTTTGTCCAGGTCTCTTTTGATATCCTGTTCTGAGTTTACTGCCACCAAATTTCATTTGCTGACTTGTCATTTCCTGGTTGCTCTTATTCTTGACATGGATCTTTTGTCTCGTAACAACAAGATTCTCCCCACAGCATGGTACCTTTACCCACAAGCCTTCCGGTATCTATACTCTTAGTTGGGTCATCCCTGGCTGTATGCATTTGCTACTCATTTGAATACCTAATTTCCTCTGTTTTTGGTTCCCCTTTACCACATCCTTTGGCTTTGGTATTAAATATCCTCAATCAGAATTGGAGGGACATCTACATTTGTGCATAGCCTCCCATCCATCTTCTTCCCAAAGTCCTTTCTATTATCCAAATCACTCTTTGCTGAGTCCTTCTCATGGCTCTGTTCTGACCCATTCAATCATGGTTTATGTTACTTCTTCCTCTCTAGGTTTCTCCTCCATTCAGTCTTCCTATTCTCCTCTGTCAACCTCACTCAGCAGTACTTTATCCTTCCATTCCCACATTCCAGCTTGACACATGGCTTTTGTCTGGTCTTGTGTGAGAGGTTCCAGGCTTTTCATATGTGTGGCATCCTTTTTTTTTCCCTTGTAGTCTGACCCTCATACATGTCTGTGTACTGGCAAATGTGGCATGTTTTGCTGTTGGTCTCTCCATTGTGGATTTTTCCCTCTCCTCATCAGTTGTCAAAAAAGGAGTTGAAAATTCTAGCTTTTCAGAAAAAAATTTTTATCTTGTTAATGTTGAACTTTTAATTAGGTACATTAGATTATTTAGACCAGTGATTTAAACCAGGTTTTTTTCCATTCTGGTTTGGCTCCAAATAGAACCAAAGTTTCAGCTCCTTTATTGAAAGTCCTGAACTCCTTATTTCATTCTGTTGTGGTTTGAATAAAATAAAATAGCAGTTAATACCGGTTCAGCTTTTTCTAGTCAAGTATTGATGTATTGGTGTTCATATATCTTTACTTTCTTTAATATTATTACACAATAAACATGAAATACAGTAAACTCCAGATAACTGGTCACTTCAAGGGAAAACGTTGCATTAATAAATGCTCTTATCTATAGAAACAACAATATCTATGTTGCACTCTTTAAACGAAATTACATCAGTCTGCATCACTTTTCTTTTCTTCATTGCAATTTCTTTTGCCCCAGTTCTAGTTTCAAATTAAAAAAAAAACTTCCCAACATTCTCACTGAAAATGTTTTGCAGAAAAAAAAAATCCTCTTGAAGTAATCAGTTATGTGTGAACAGTGTTTATTGTCATTGTCGGCATTCAACAAATGTATTGTGTTCACAGGATAACTTTCCTGTTCATCTATTTTGGATATAACAATGAACATAATATATGTATTTATCTTACAAACGAGTTTGTGACTCACATTTTTAACTGAAAGAGATGCTTCTAATCACTTTTGCCCACCTTACAATTAATGTGTAGAAGTTACAAATAAAAAAATGATGTACGGATTAGGTGTAGATCTACAGTATCAAGACTCTTCATTCCAACTTATTCTCCACTGCACCATTAATTTATTCCCAGTTATCAAGTTACTATTTGATTTAAATAAATTCTACAATGAAAAAAAAAACTTGAGTTATGATAAACAAAGTACCAAATTGCATAATGCATGAGCAGCTCACATGCATGCATCATGGAAAAATTTTTTATTTAATTTATTTTCATTTAATTTTTCTTATCTAACCCTAAATTTTCGTGTTTAATTTTTTGGTTACTTTTGTTGAAAAATGTATAACAACGAATAAAAAATACACATAAAAAAAAAGAAATTATTACCTTAAGCATTGAGGGTGTTCAGTGATCTGTTTTTGTAAGCCTTATTTTCCCTAACTGTGCTGGTTATTCAAAAAATAATTAATGTAGATTTTATATATGCATTTTAAAATGCAAACAATAATTCAAACAGTAAAATAGAATGCCCTAAAACTACTGTAATTTACCAGGCTTTCTAAATAGGCTAAACAAATTTTTTTACTTGTCAAAGCACCAACTTTTATCTACCCTTAATAAAATTACTTCTGTTGTGGGTATAACAACTTTATTGATATCTTAGAAAATAAAGAAAGGGGGAGGTTCTAATTTTAAATTCTAACCTGCCAGTATATATAGTTGGTGCTTGTAATAATTAGTGGACATTCTGAAACCCATATACAGAATATCTGAAAAGGTGAATTCAGAGTAAAGAGGCATTACATAATGCAAAGAAATGGAGAGTGCTCATTAATTTAAATATTTCCTTTTTAAATTAAGAAATTAGAACTTATACTAAAATTTAAATTCTAAACTACATTTTGATGTTAGATTTATTAACATACATTTATTATGTTTGTTAACATAATAAAGTTGTGCATTTAAACCTTAAATGTAACTCTGTAAAGAGATAGAGATAAGATAACATTATTAACCAATAAACAGAGCCTTATTTATCATTTTTGTTCTACAACACAGTAAATTAATTTAATTTCTGTTGTTGTTTTTTCTGTTCCAAAAAAATTGTTATCTTTCTGTCTATCCTTCTGGTTCCAATCACTTATTAAGTCAAAAACATAGTAATGAATTGGTAAGAGAGTTTGAAATTGCAGCTTTTAAAAACTGTTTTGAAAATTCATTAATGCTTAAGTTTTAATTAGATACTAGACAACCCGTGACCCGTTGGGTCACTCACTATTCAGAGGTTATGAAGAATTCAAGCTAATTTCAATCTTGCACCGAAATGAAGGTTTATTTTGAGATAATTTAATTAAATATTTCAATCCATTCATGTTACTCGTAATTCAAGAAAAGATATTTGATTGTTGATCGGGAGTAAAAGTAAAGAGCATTTCATTTTTTAAAGAAGTGTAGTCAGAGTTTGTAGGTATTATGATGAATTAGTTCATTATGTTGTGCTCTTTCCTCTTAAACCTTCTACAAATAAGAAACAGTAACACCAAATTACCTACCATAACCAAGGCACATTCTTCAAGATCTTGTTTATATCATCTTACATATTTTAATGACGATGGGAATATTGACAGGGAAATAGATTTGAATGAAGAAGTTTCATAAAAAGTGCGAAGGGTAGTGTGATGTAAAATTACTCATGCTAGAAATTTTCATAAAAGTGACCCGAAAAATGGTGCTAACCCGTGGCCTGGTGAAGTTTCATAAAGAGTGCGAACGGTAGTGTGCCTCATTTTTTGACTGAGAAAATAAGCAAAAAACAAACAATCTCAGAGTTTTATTAGTATATGGATAGATAGATAGATAGATTCTTCAAGATCTTGTTTTTGTCATCTTTTGCCTTTTAATAAAGATGGGAACATTGACAGGGAAATAATATAATAGCCAATGCTCGACGAGAGGTTTTCATTTATAAAATTTTGGTGTTGTTCTTGACCTGATTTTTATTTTATTACCTTGTCTCCATAGTTACTATTTGCAAATAGTCAATAATATTGTAGGTCAATTTTATTGTTGTTCTTTCTAAGCGCCGTTATAACACATTTTCAGCTCATCATTTAATTTCTATTATGCATATATTGTTGTATAAAAGATATTTTAAAGTGATTCATCACATGGAAAACAAACAAATAGATAGATAGATAAACCGATATGTGGCGCCATCTAGTGTACGTAAATTCATCTAGAAATTTACATAAAATGACCCGAAATATGGGGCTAACTCGGTAACCCGTGACCCAAATTTAATGTAACTTGTTTTATTCTGTTTCTATTCTCATTTCATTACAAATGTGGCAGTATTGTGTGCTGTTTTTGCTACTTTTAATTACAGACAAGCAAACAAACAATCTCAGAGTTTTAGTAGTATATAGATAGATAATGTATTATTTAGAAACCAATTTAATAATGTATTGGTAACAAAATTTGAAAATTTTACATTTTGAAAGTGTTTAGAAAAAGTCATTCATGTTGAAATTTTCAATAAAGAATTAAGAAAGTACAAAAAATTGGGCAATAAATATAATTTTATTTTTGTTACAAAAACATTTTCACAATTTGGGTTTTTCTCTTCAGCCGGATATCAGTAAGTTTGCCTCTGATCTTCTTCCACTGTTGTTCAACTTTCTATCACAACTAAGTCAACAGCTACAGCATGGAGGAAAAGATCCAACAAGTCTTTCTAAAATATTTTATGCTTTAGAATCTTTTTGTGAAAACTTAGGTGAGTAACTAACTGATGAATAGATTGACCAAAAAAATTATACATTATTTGTTAATCTTTATTTCAATTTTCAATGAACTACTTTGAAAAAAAAACGTTATTGCCTAGTTGAGTGTCTACTACAATAATTTTTGTTTCTGGCATCTGTGCTGAATGTATTTTTAACATCACACAATTTTTGATTTAAGAAAAAGTTAAACATAAATATTTCTTGAATGCCTCGAACATCCTGTCAGAGACTCCATGTTCAACGTGCCAATCTTAAGCATTAATTTCTATAATCTTAGTATACTGTAAGAATCTGTGGTGTAATCTTTGTAGACCATCCTGTATAGGTTGATAGAAAGGGGTGTTTTTAGATGCTCTGTTGCTTCTAACAATTTTTAACTTTTGCATATGAGATTCTGATTTTTATAGTATAGCAAATTACTGTATAGTGGTAATGAAAGTTAAATATTGTGTATTTTTAATCTGATAGGCTTAATGGACAAAATAAAAACACAGAAGTAGCTTTTTTTGTAATAACTGCACTAAAAATTAAAATATAAATAAACTACATTGTATTCACAGTTATATTTAGGTTCAAAGTGACATGGTCAAAATAAAGTCAGATAAAGACTGAAAGAAGTAGGTTGGCAGATAGCAGACTAGGATAGTTGGATAGATTTAACTAATTTGCAGCAAAATGTAATGTGGCCCTGCCTGTAATTATATCTGCTATCTTTAAAGGCATATTTATGTTGATAATCACATGGTTTGTAATCTACTTGAACAAAATTTAAGTTTCTGGAAAATTCTACTGGAGGGCTCTTATGTTTTATGTTCCCTCCCAGCAGCAGGTCTTTATGACTTTATTATTTCAATATTCTAATGTAAATGTTTTAGTGAACTAAGCAATAACATGAAAAAAAGTAACAATAATTCATAAAACAACTATGTTAACAAATCTGATAAAGATCTGCAATCCATAAACACTGTTAATATCTATTGCAATTACATTATGTAAACAACTATATTTTGAATTTCAGATAATTGGTCAAACAGCTAAAAATACTCCTTTAAAACCACAGACAATTAGGAAAAAAGAATGTAGAATATACTTGAAAAAAACTAATTGATAAAATGATAAAAACCATGAGATATTTTATTTTCACTGAAATGTAATGTATAGTTAACACCTTACAGAGGAAGGTCTGGTTCCATATCTTCCCCAGCTAATGACACACCTGTTAACTTTTCTTACAACATCCCAATCTGTTCGTGTTCGAGAACTTGCTATCAGTGCAATAGGAGCTGCAGGTTAGTAAATTTATTTTTTTAAGTTAATAGTGAGAAGAAATGCTTTCTAAATTAAGAATAATCACTAAAAAAGGTTTTATCTCTTTATCATCTTTTTTTTTTATGAGGAATTATTTTTTTTTAAAAGAAATAATTTCAATTTCTAACATCCCATCAGATTTTTATAATTGGGTTGCTCCTGTTTAGTGAGGAACAGTTAGTGTTGTTGTTGTTGGTCCTTCGAAGTTCGAAGTTAGTAAATGTTTTGTGTGTCACAAATGAAATCCACATTATGTACAATGGATAGTACTTATTTGTCTCTACTGATTTTACTGCCATTTACTATCAACAATTTCATGCACATTTATAACAAAGAGAGTGATACACCATGACCAAGCAGTCTTATCTGGTATAAGTGCTCAACACAGTTGATTAACATGTTTTTACTCTGTTTTGTGACATGTTTTTAAAAGGAATATAAAACATAGTTGAAATTTTGTGAAGCATAATAACTTTAGAAAAACATATATTTAGTGAATGTAAATAAATACATTTTTGAGTATATTGAAATATGTATGCATATATATGTATACATTAAATTTTTTGTGTTGGAGATTGAAAGCTGCAATTGCCTTATTATTTGGAATTTTTATAGACAAAACTAGAAGTTTAACATCTTATTTTGTTATTATCAGGCAACATGACAAGCTTAGCTAAAAGACAGTAGTATAACACTGATTGAAATTTCCATCTAGATAATAACAGAAAAATAAGTAGTTTCCCAAGAAATTATAAATATTAGCATTTCATAAAAAATTTATTAATGTAATTTACAATATTTTCGTTGTTAGTCACATTTTTACAATATAGAATTAATTTATACAATTGTAATAGGATATTATTTGTTAAACCTTAAATGTTATAATTTGAGAAACTATATCATTGGACTTTAACTTGACAGTTATAATAGTTATGCTCATTTATTCCATAAACTATGTTTTAAAACAGTAACAAATTTAATTAAACTTTTACATAGAAAGATGAAGATCTAATATATATGCTTTTTAGTTGGTATTTTCCAAACTTTAGAAAAAATAGGTGATCTATTCATTTTATCATATATTTTTATATTGTACAGAAAGCAAAAAAATTTAATCATAAAAGTAAAACCATATGTGGGTAATAAGCCTGTTTCCTTTTTAATTACGAGACTAGTGATTTTATTTTTTTAATAGGAAATGCAGCCAAAGAAGCACTACAGCCTTACTTTCCTCAAGTTCTTGAGCAGCTGAAAGTTTACCTCTGTGAACCACAACCTGAGCAACTCTTACCACTACAAGTTCAAGCAGTTGGTGAGAACTAAATTACCTTATTAAAAGTTCATTATAAAATATATACTTGAAGAAACTTTATTAATTTCAATATTATCCAAGATTTTTTGAATTATGCATGTCATGGTAGTTTTAAGATTAGCATTTTTTGAATATTAAAATCACATGACATTTAATATTTCAATAGAACATAATATGAGATAAATGAAATATCAGTTTGAATCTGTTTTTTCTTGTCAGATACTCTTGGAGTCTTAGCAAGGACAATTGGTAGAAACCATTTTATTCCTATGGCAAATGATTGTATGAATATGGGTTTATCTTTAATTGACAAAGTCCATGATCCAGACCTTCGTCGATGCACGTTAGTATTGCTAATTTCTTTTTATGCTTGTTAAAGATTAGGTCAAATGTAATAAAATATATTGCTATAATTTGATATTGAAAAGGAAAATTATCAAGAATATTCTTTGAAGAAACTTTGGAATAAATTAATTCTAAGTACATCTGTTGTCATAACTTAGAACTCCAGAAAAGCAGTAAAAGCTGTTATATGCACTTGTATTTGAAACTCTCAATAAAAGTTGTTATATATACTCTTATTTGAAACTATGTTGAACTCTTTATGTGAGCTCAATCATTTTTACCAATTTTGAAACCATCATGTAACCATAAAACTTAGTGTTTTCACTGGGTACTTGCTAGTTCCAAGAGTGCTACCCAGATCCATCAAAGCAATGACTAATATCAAACTGCATGCATTCTTTTTATCTTGGAATTCCAACTTTCCAAGGTCGTCTAAGCATAAATATCGAGTACAGAACATTGTATACATATTTCATACATTAAGAAATAAAAAAGTATTCATTAAAGCTTTGTTGTGTTTCTTTCTCTCTGATAGTACTGTAAGTCTTATCCCCACCAATGATAATGTACTGGTATTGTTTACTGGATACAGTGTACTACACACACAACGTTATGCAGTTGTCAGCTTGTGTACTGAGGCTTGCAATGTTATGCACAAAACCTGTATGCAATGTGGCAAATCACTCCATGGGTAATATACACTCAACTCTGAACTTGGCAAGCAATAATATTGGACTGTGACACTCATTTGAAGGTTGCTGTAAAATATCTGAATATAAAGTAAGAGAGGGACCATAGACATAACTAACGTAAGCAGTAAGCACCTTTACCCATGGCTTGCAAGTTGCAACCGCTCTATAAGCTGCAAACCTTTACTTGTGTCTAGGATTGAAATATTAAAAAAGGCATGCAAAAATAATTAACTTGGAAGAAACACTGAACACACAGAAAATGAGTGTACTTGACAGTACAGCTAACAGTAGGCCTAGTTTAACTAACCTACCATGAGCTAGGCTATCCTAGGCTAGGCTTATACTGTAAATATGAATGCTTCACTTCAGTTTCATGATTTTTTGTAGAACTTTTTCCTTTAGTTTTAATTTTTTTTGTAATGTTTTTATACAATCATTTAATCTCATTCCTCGTGACTTTAGCTTTCCAAATTATACTGATTTGGCAAAACCGCAAATATCGGCAGCCGGACCCTAAGCTAACAAGTCTTTCAATTTCCATTGACCTTTAACAGTAAGTAATCTGATGGGTACCTGGTTGCCCAGTCGGTATTGACCCTCAAGTACCAAGATCAGAAATTTCTACTTGGTGGGAACACTATTAAAACTATACATACTATAACTCTAAATGTAGTAATTGTGTGTGTGTGTGTATATATTCACAAAATTTGGGAAGTTTAAGTAAACATTACAACTGTTGTATGCAAAAATACCAGCTTTTTTAATAAAGTATTTTTACTAAAAGTGTGTGTGAATTTGTGAAGTTAGTCTAATTGATACTCTGATGAGCCTGAGTACAAAGAAATTTTCATGTTAAGAATAAAAAATACTTTTTTTTATTCTTACAGTTTCATATTTTATTTGCATAACCTCTAAAATCTAAATGAATAGTAAAAGTTTTTATTCCAGTAAAACCATATTTTATCTGTTATTTTGTCTAACTGTAGTAAAGTTAGCAATGTAGTGTAAAATTTAAACTTGAAAAATAAGAAATAATTCTAAATTACCCTCTTTTTTTTTTTTAGAATGACTGGATATTGTAACAGACAATTACACACTATTTATTCTTACAGACAAAGCCAGCAGACTTCAAATTTGGGTTCAGTTGTTTTATTGCCTTACAGCTGCATTTAGACAATCTCAGATTTTTGCCAAAAGCCATTAATCAGAGCTGGACAGCTTTGTGTAAACAAAGAATGGGTTACAATCATGGCATATTAGAATTAGTCACACCTTGTGATGTACTTTTGCTATGATAGAGTATAACAAGAAATTTAATTTTTTTTATTCAAACTAATATGTTTCTGGTATTTGGTTTTTAGTTACTTTTACAACATTGAATTAAAAATATACATAAAAACAGAAAATAATATCTGTGTATGAACTCTTGCCTTTTTTGCCATTGGCAGATGTAGCACTCTAGGCCTACTTTATTTAATAACGTTGAGGATCCAAGATACTATTAATTTGTATTTCAAATATGCAACATAGAATACAATATTATAATATGTAAAGAAATAGAATGTCTCTAAATTACTTTAATTTAACTGACTTTCTAACTAAACTATAAATAGGTTAAACATTTCTGTTAGCTTGTCAAGCCAAATACCTCACAGGAGAACATTGAAACTGATGCCAGATATTTCCAAACCTCACGTCTGAAAGGTCTAGTCTTATAACAAACCTAGTAATACAGAATCTTCTCTTTTTATTGGGTGGGAATAATTCAGTAGTGTAGTGTGCAAGTTTGGATTTCTTGTTTATAACTTAGAAAAACAAGAAGCTTTGTGGCTCTAAATTTACATGATGACATAGCAACATCTGTTTGTAATACGTAATTGGTGGCAAATATAAATTATTATATAGGGATAGAAAGAAAATCACATTGTATTTCATTTCTAATTGGATAACTATTTTTTTAATGTTGTATAAGCATGTGCAGATCTAGAAGATAGTATCCAAGGTGCCAAATTCCTTCACCCATTTTTTTCAGAAATTAATAACTATTATTTAATATATAAGTAATCACACATTTAGATAGGGTATGTACTGATTGGTCATTTAGAGATATTGTTTTTAAAGGAACAACATTAGGGCACATTTGGCCTTATATCAACAGGGTTACATATCTACTTTTAAACATAATGAAAACCCTGTGTAATATATTTGTTTTGAGTAGGTGATATCAGAAATTGATAGGAATAATAGGGAGGGAAATTTTTAAAAAAAACGTACATTAGTGTTTTATCATTTGGAAAAATTGTAAAACCTGTAGCCTTGTATCTTTTTTCTTCAAATTCTGAAATAATTTAATATCTTAGAATGTATTTCATTGGTTTTGTTTTAACTACTGCAATGCAGAATGGCAAATTCATAACAGAAGGTTATTTTTGGCACCATTGTGTTCTGCAAACCCAGGTTAAATATGGCATGTGTAACATATGAAAATAAAATTATTAAAATATATCAAGAAGTGCCAAAGTTTATAATGAATTCCAGTTAAATTGAATACAAGTTTCAATATGAGAAACTATAAAATGGTAACTTGTGGGAAATATTTTTCTTTCATTATAGACAGTTCACAATAAACGTTAAGGCTTTTATATTTGTGTCTGAGACTGGCATAATGTTTTTATAGTTAGAGCATCTGTTTAAAATAGTTTTGACAGCTTTTTAAGTTGACATTTTTTAATCAATGGTATATTTTTCTTGTTTTAGTAAATAGAAATGAAACTGGAAAGGTGTCATGAGTTTGAACCTACTCAATAAATTAGAAATATTTTGCATTGCATATAACCATTGGTTTTAAAATTTAGGATAATTACTGTGAAGATAAATCATTTGATTTTCCATTCCTCTATAAATCTAAGTGAACATAGTAATTCAAACATGCCATTGAGTGTGTAATAATAGAGTTTTGTGTAAGTAACTCTTGCAAAAAATATCAGGTATTCATTCTTGCAAGACTCATTCTAAATTTCTCTATCACCCATAGATATGGTCTATTTGCATCAATTTCAGCAGTGTTAAAAGTTGACATGAGCCCATATTTGCCAGTTGTAATGGAGAATATGATTGATTCGCTTCAATCTACTGAAGGAATTGTGGTAAGTTGAATTACTGAAGATAAGACTTTGGTCAAAATAATGGTACTTTAATACTGATTCATCAAGATTAATTGTTATAGACAACTTGATAAGTAAATGGTGTGTCAAATCTCTTGATACAAAAAAAAGATTGTAGAAAAATAAAATGTCTAAGTAAAATGTTATTGAAGTAATGAATAAAATCAATTAATTTATTATAGTATTTTTACTTGAAAATTTGTTCTACGTTAAAGGTACACAATTGTAGAAACCTAGAACTGTTCAGAAACCATAGATGAGCTGCCCACTTCATTCCGTCACTGAGAAGTAGGAACCCAATATTTGTCCAAATGTAGGAGTCCTTCAACACATCTATACCATATTCTTCATGTTTCAGACATTTCAGCCTAAAGTTGGCTGAGATTCCATGGGAGAAAGGTTGTTTCTACCTCCATAGGTCCCTTTAAGTGAAATTAAACAGTTTTCTCCCCAGTGCTAAAGACAATTTATCAAAGTATCTCAAACACATAACTGCATGGAAAGGCTGGATTCAGGAAATTATGCAATACTTGAATTTAAATTAGATGATCTGGCACTTGACTCAATCAAACATTTGAATGAGGATCAACTTTGGGACTGGAATACAACCATTGCCAAGTTTTGTAGATGTTTCAATGTGGTGGAGATTCAAGTTATCTATTGAATTTATTTTAAGGCTCAAAAGGGATACCCCACTGTGAGTTTGCCATGAGGATGATCTGTGCTATTTACATGGGAAGGTATATCCTGCAATGCTTCAGAAAATTGTGAGGATATCATTGTAGACAAGTTTGTTGAGTAGCTGTCATTCTTACTGTATAGTCATAGCATATGAAGAAACCTGAATTTACAGCTCCTTGGTTTTACCTTGGCCAGAGAACCCTCATAAAGCATATGAGATGCAACGATAAAACAGTTAACTCTCTTGCTACAGGCTAGGCCAATTTGACCAAGTTCATAACTCCAACTTGGGGCATGATGGTGGTAGAACGAAATATGCAGCCTAAATAACTAATGAATGAATATTTGCTGTAAAATTCTTATCAATGCTATAAGTGTAGCTACCAGCTTGACTGCCAATTTTGATTTCATTTTTTTTAAGTTGCATGCTCAATCCTTTATTGGCTGCACCTTTTTTTCACACCTAAGGTATTTTTGATTAGATATCATGACTTTGTCAATAATCAACAAACCACAGCAAGTAAGAAAGGGACACTCAATAGTAACCAACATTAGCTTTAGGACACAACCCTATTACTTGGAACAGATCTATACTTTACAAACCAGATTCTTTATAAAATGTATGATGATAGTTTTCCCTCTAAAACATAGTTAGTAACTTATTTTATAGTAATGTGATGGGATCTAGATTAACAGATTCTTGTCATCTCCCGCATGAACACCGTACAGCCGTATCAAGCATCATTATTTATGCTGATATCACGTGACACTAAATGCTCTTTAATTGGGATAATTTCATAAAACTTAGCAAACTTGTGCTTAAAAGTTGGCAATGAATAATATCTGTCCACCCATATAATTCTTTTGAAAACTTGAGCTAGAAACTGATAATCTACTTTGCTTGGCTTGACCAATACTTGTGTATCTGCACATGCTTTCACCCTGTAATTTCGCTGCTGTAAATCAGCTGTCTTTAATCCGAATGACTGAAAACTAAAAATTTTCCGCCTTTATTCTTAGGTGAAGCTGTAGTAAAAATTTCAGTCCAATAGTTCACATGACTTTTTGCATATGTGCATGCAAAACATTTTGGTCAAAATTGAGTGGATTTTGTTGAACAACTTTGTACATGTTGCTTATATTTAGACCAAATTTGACACCTAATTGTAGGTTGTAAAGATCTATCAGTGTACCAAATTTGAAAAAATCCATGAAAGTAAAGTATGTCTTTCTATCAAATAAAATTTCCATACTTTTGGTGTGAAGAAAAAGAAAATATGAAGAAATTCAATCAAAATAGGGTATTTGATATCTTGTGTATTTCTTAATGGATTGCCTTGAAATTCAGTAAGTGAAATAAGGGTACAGTAGAGCACATCCACTGAAAATATGTGATAGCTTGGATTACCACAGTCTCAGCTACAGAAAGTGAAAAATATCTAAACTATCACTCCTGTTAATAACAGACAGTGTCCTGCAGGTTGTTTTGGCTGCATGACACACTACCATATGTCTTGATCTGACTATGTTAAATAAGCCAGATAAGGAAGCCCCCAGTAAAGCAGCCATGAGACGTATATTTTTAATCATCCAAGATGCTGAAAGTAACATGGTTATTATAGCTAGGATTAGCTGACCTCGGAATCTAGGATAGTTGCTTCATTTTATGAACAATAACATAAAGAAAGTGGTGTTCCATGCTTTCAAAGCTATCAAGTGATGTGTTACAGTGAAATTTATATGCTAAATTGTGATTGCCACTTGATTATCATAAAGTTAGCACAGTTTATTGATCATAATATTACACCATTGACTAAGGCTGCTTTAAATGCTCGTAGATTTTTTGCGAGCTGTACACCATATATGACACGCTCTCATTCATCTACCAGAGGCTGATCATACTCTATGTGGTAAATCAGCAGTCAGTGGGTTAACAGGACTGTAAACCAATGAAACCTTACTTTCTGAGCTATTAAGCAGAATTTCACTGAGAGATAATTGTTTGATTACTATACAGTTAGTAGGTATATAATACCTAAAACAACATCAGTCTGTACGACAGAGGATAATTGCTAGGAGTTTTAAAATTCAGCTTAAAAAGCATTACATCCCTTACTTTCTAAGTTATCAAGCAATTTCAAAGGGTTAGATGTTTGAACCACATGTTGCAAGAGTTGCTCACACTATCTAGTCAAGTTTCTGCAGATCAGATTGCACAATACTGACTAGACACATGCAGTACCCATAGGTGTGTGTGTATATATATATATATATATACAACTTGTACATGTGCAGTAAATGTAGTTTTGTTCTTTCTCAACACAGAACATGAATCAGGTTGTTATTAATCTAAGTGGAAAAGACCTTGTTTAATTAGACTTTGCCTGTACTTATTTTTTCTTTGATGCCAACTGTAGTGGGTGGTGCAACTCACAAATGGTGATACGATATTTTTATAGTTCAGCTACTGGTGTTGGTACCATCTAGGTCAGTAAATGTATTTTAGTGTGTAATATTGAACGTAGCATATATTGGTACATGTGCATGTTTATATATATACTGTAGTGACAGCACAAATATTAATTTTGGGTAAAATAATTTTAGCTTTAAACTCTTGGTTCTGCTGAATTCCACTAGTGATATTGTGAGAATGTGAGTATATATATATATTCTCTACAGACAGTATACACATGAGTACATATAAGACTACAGAAACGTTTCTTGATCACCATAATAGTATGTAAAGGCACCTATAGGTCAGAAATTTGTTGTAATTAGGCCATTACAGCTTTGAAACCAACACCTCTAGCTGAACTTCTGACCAATCAGTGTTTTACTGACCATACATTATCAATCTTGAATTTTTTTTATGTAACATCAAATCCTTGGTCCATCTGTCTATCTTGTCCAATTGACCAACAGACTAGCATGTAAGAGGTCCTACACATGTCTACAGTAGCCTTCAAAGTTAAAAGCTCCCAACAATGACCTTCACAGAGATAACCCAACATCACATGCTCAGCAGCTTCATATTCTGAAGTGACGTTACCAGGCTCAAGCTGCAAAATGGATTGAGAATTGGCACTATATAACAGGGAGAAACACAAGCTGCTGAAGCATGACAATTTACCATCAAAGTTGGTGGAGAAACTGCAGTGGATTTGAGCTGATATGGCCCTAATGTAGAAGGTTCTGGCGAGAACCCAAGAATTCATTTGATAATTTTAGAAAGCTCTAAACCTAACACAACCAGGAGGACCTTTTGTCTTAGCTCAAGCAAAGAATAAGGGAGGTATAATTTACCATCATCTACTTGTACATTCTGTGCAGTTTTGTTTTAATTTCATTTTTCTCTTTCTTAATATTTGTGCTTGGTTTTACAGTTTGATCTGATATTTTGATTTCATGTAGGATTTTTGTTAAACTTTCATGAAATATTGCAGTTCCATTATTATATTATGTATACAATATTTATAACACATTGTTTTGTTAGATTTTGTTTCATGTTATTATTGTGGTCATGATCAGACACATATTTGTGCATATGTGTTGACATGTTTTATTCCATGTTTTAATTTCAGTTAGATCTTAACTTTTTTTCTTTTTGTAATTTCATACTTTCAATCATTGATGAAATTTTTTTTATTGCATCTTAGCTTTACCTATAATTTTCTTTGCATGTGTGCAGATTTATTTTGTAAGTAAGGATTTTTGTATTGTGTTTAAATGTAATGATATAATTTTCATTTTACATTCTTAACTTCATACTAAAAGATTTATTTTATTCTGATTTGGTACTGAAAAGTCTGTTGTATTTTATCTATTTGGTTTAATGTTCAAGGGTTTGTCTTATATATATTTGATACAAAGAGTATATTTAATTTTTGATTTGGCATTAAAGGTTTGTATGATTCTATATTCATAACTTAATGATAAAGTGTTTATTTTGTTATATGCTCAATTTGCTATGATCTGTATGAAGCTGAGTTTCCTGCTTTATCTGTAAGTGCCTCACATAAGTGATAGTTTATTACATCAGTTCCAGATCAATGCATGAGTTAATTGAATTTTAAAATTAGGGATGGCTGAGATCATCCTGAAAGAAGGGGAGAGGAAGTGTGTAGTAGCAAAGCATACTAGGTGTTTTCGGTCTTCTTTATTTAGTAAAGTGAACACTTCTAGTTCAAATAAATTTTTTTCAAAATTTTGGTGTGTGTGTGTGTATTATTATCTGAGACTGCCAAGGCACG